CAAACATCTCAGATAAAGAGATCAAAGCCCAGGCGGGGGTGGAAGGGCCAATCCTGCCGCCGCTAGCGGGTCCCCAACGGCTCGAGAGCTAAGCGCGGGACAGCAGAGCCAGTGCGCTCAGGGGAAGGCAGCCCCCCACGCACTCTTGGGCCGCTGCAGCTCCTGGACTGTCCTTTGCTCATCACCCCACATCCGCTCCCCGGGCCGCGGCCGGACAGCCCCGCTTGGTCCCCGGGCCATCGATCAGTCTTGGAAGAGCTGGCGAGGTCATCCGCACAACAAAGGCGGCCCCAAACGGCGCCTTCTGTCTTGTAAATATCAGGTCCCGCCCCCAGACAAAGTGGAGCCCCGGGTAGAAGCTGCCGGAGGCACCCGCCCCCGCTCCACTCCCCACCCCCACAACTCCGGAGCTCTTTCATTTGAAATGTTAATGTTTCGAAGCTTCCTTCTAGGCCGGGATCTGTCTCATTGAAAGGCGGCTGAAACCTCTGGGATTAATAAACAAACCGGCATTTGGCTTGGGCGGGAACAGGGTAAACATTTGTCCGTCTAAAAAAGAGAGGCAGGTGTGCGTAAGACAAACGCGGGTAAATTATTACACAGCCCCGGCTACTGGCTTTAAAAAGACTGCTTTGTGCACCGATTCCAGGATTTGGAGAAGTTTTCCCAACGAAGAGACCCTTATTTGCACCCTCCAGGCTGAGGGCCCCGGCTGCACTGCCTTCCTCCCCCGCCTGGCACTGAGAAATCCAGGTCGCAGGTGGAGAGCCCGCGGGGCCGCGCTCGGGCGGAGCCAAGCCCAGGCCCCGCCCAGGTCCTCCTACGCTGTCGTCCTGCTGCGCTGGAGCCCCGCCCTCAGTTCCACCGCCAAGCGGCCGCTAGGGTTCTGAGTGTCCTCGGGTAGCCCTGACCACGGCGAGGTTGGGTGTCTCTTGGCGGGTAGGCCTGAGTGTAACACGCTCGGCAACCGCGCCTGCGGAGGACCCAGGGGGGCTCATAGCGGGTGCTTTTCAAAAGTCTTGGCGTGAGTTTCCCTGTCCATATTCGATAGTTTGTCAAGGCTATTGCCAAAATATTATCAAGTCGGATTCCTTGCCCAGCCCAGCTGCTAGCGATGATAATAGTACCCGAGGTCACTTTGGGAGCGCTGACACTCTGCCATGCACCACTGTTCCAAACCCTTCACATGGATAAACTGTGATGATACAAACCATCGACTTGCTCCTTTCTAGAACGGGGACGTCATGTCCTCGCCACCTGTCCTCGCAGGGTGAGAGCAAATTGGAGCATGTGCCCCCACGGGATTTGGGGTCCCAATTGTGCAGGTCTGACTCCACGTGCCCCGGGAATCGTGTGTGCTGGGGAGGGGCTATGGAGGTGACCGAGGCGGCATTGTGGGCCTGGAACACAGCCAGGTCCCCACAATTTCCCCAACTTCAGTATTCTTTAATCCACTAAATCCTCCCAGGCACAGCCTGGTCTTCCAAAAGCTTTTGCCTCAAGCTGGGAAAACCCAATAAAGGAATGATCATTTTTCAACCATGGGAGCCAGCAACATTCATACATAATGAAGCAAGTCACACAAAGGAAAGAATTCTTTCCCATTCTCCTGGGAGAGGCCCCTCAGCCCAGGGAATCTTCAGAGCTGCCCAACTGCCCAAACTATGGGCCAGCCTGGGGGGGGGGGCATACAGAGGGGTGGGGGTTCACTGAGGAGCCCTCCTACCCACCCAAAGCCTGGAGTTGTCACCTGAGGAAATGCCAGCCCAGGTTATTCCTAAGCATTTCTTACAAATTCCAGTTACTGCATTTCCTCTGCCCTGAGTGCCACTTGTGGATCCCCTGGTCCAGATGAGTGACACAGAGAAGGGAGGAGGAACAGCTTCTAGCAGAAGACCACCCCTCTGGATAACACCTGGATGCTGTCAGAGGACCCAGTGGACAGGGTGGGAAGAGATTGTACATCACCTGGTTAAGATAAGGTGCTTTGGCCTTGGATTGGTAAATAAGCTTGGCCTTGTAAACACCCATCTACCCCTCTACCCTCAGTGCTCAGAGATACATGATCTCCCAGGTTTGTTACACCTTCCCACAGGTACTAGACCATTGACTCCAACCTGATCTCTTCCTTTAAACTTACTGACCTGAGGTCTCAAACGGATCCTTACTCCTCCAGGCGGGCCTGGGCCTCGGGCTGGAAAGGACAGCAAAAGAATAGGGTTCCTCTACCTGGTGTGATGTTAAAGACCCAGGGTAGCATATGCTTCGTGCCTGTGACCTATGGATAAAAACAGTCACCTGTGAAGTAGCTGAGTGATCTTGGGCAAGTCATTTACTTTGTTCAGTATTCCTTAAGTTTCCATTGGCAAAGTGATCAGAAGCAGAACATTCCTGGGATGCCTTGGTGGCATAGTTGTTTAAGCATCCGACTCTGGATCTCAGGGTTGTGAATTCAAGCCCTGTGTTGGACCCCGGCGTGGAGCCTACTTAAAAAACAATAATAAAATAAAGTAAAATGAAATGAAATGAAAGAAATAGAACATTCCTGGAAAGGAGGAGATGTGGGGAAATCTGCATTGTAAACTCAGCCCCCGGAAGCCTTCTCACACGTTCTCCTGAGGCTCCGCTGTATGATGGTAGAGAGGGAACTCTCCTTGCCACGCTGTCATCTGGCCTGGAAGTGAAATATCTGAAACTGAATCACCCTGGCATCCTGGCTTGGGTGAGCGGCAGTCAGAGGCAGATTGGCTTTCAGAGCAGGTGACAGCCCAGTGGCCTGTCTCCTATCACTGGAGGCAGGCAGTCAGCTAACACCACCTCACTGCTGGGATGGATCTTGCTCCCAGCATGGTATCCCACCACCTCTTGCCTGGGAGATGAGCCCGAGCAGATCTTCACTGACATTAAATAGCCTTGTTCTGCTCCCACTGTTTCCATCTCAAGGATATCAATCCCTAGCCTGCCTGTGGCTATCAGACTTCTTTTTCAACATTTCCATATCCATTTTCCAAACTTACTTAGAAAGAGGCACAAAGCTCCAGTATGACCAAACCTCCATATGCCCGGTTTTCTGTATCTACTTTTATTTATTTATTTTTTAAAAGATTTTATTTATTTGAGAGAGAGAGAGAGAGTGCAGGCACGAGCTGGGGGGAGGGGCAGCGGCAGAGGGAGAAGCAGGCTCCTGGCTGAGCAGGAAGCCTGATATGGGGCTCCATCCCAGGACCCTGGAATCATGACCTGAGCTGAAGGCAGACGCTTGACCAACTGAGCCACCCAGGAGCCCCTGTATCTACTTTTAATTTAGAATTTACAGAAACAAGGTATAGAGGATGATTGACTACATGGGAGGGTGTATGACTCACTGGGTTCCACAAGTGGAGAGGGAGAAGGACTTTCCAGGTCGAGGGGGCTACATGAGTGAGGCAGTGGAAGCCTAAGACCATTGGCTTGTCTGGTATAGCTGGAGAAGAGATGAATTGGAAACAGGGGCGGGGTAAAGTGGCAGCGACTACAAATACCAGAGCCAATCCCGGTGGATGTGAACTTATACTGGTAGACAGTGGGGAGTCAAGGAACCCGTTTTAAAAGAGGAAAGTGGTTTGTTAAATGTATGTTTTAGGTCATTTTGGTAGCTGTGCAAGGGTGAATTCATTTTTAAAAATAGATTTTTTTTTAATCAGTTTTAGGTTCACAGAAAAATTGAGCATGTAATAGAGGGAATTCTCATATATTTCCCTTCCCTTCCCAAGTTTATTATTATTGTCTTGAATTAGTGCGGTATATTTGCTACAGTCAATGAACCAACATGATGCATTAACTAAAGTCCATAGTTTACGTTAGGCTTCACTCTTTGTACACTTCTATGGGTTTTGACAAATGTATAATATCATGTACCCACAGTTATGGTATCAGAATCATTTCATCTCCCTAAAAATTCCCCTGCACTTCACCTATTCATTATTCCCCCCTTGTTCCCTGTTAAGGTCCTTGGCAACCACCAACTGCTACAGCGTTGCCTTTTCCAGAACATCATATGGTACATGGACTTTTCAAGATGGCTCCTTTCTGTTAGTGTGGGATTCAATCCCAGAACCCTGGGATCATGACCTGAGCCAAAGGCAGATGCTTAACCAATTGAGCCACGCAAGGGTCCCTCAGTAAGCCTTTAAAAAATCTTTTCCTTTGGTAAATATTTGCTGAAATTCTGTATCAATATTGTTTGATAGAAATATAACCAAGGTCACAAACTTGCTTTTTCTAGTAGCCACTTTAAAAAAGGCAAAAAGAAACAGATAAAATTAATTTTAATAACATATTCTACTTAATATATTCAAAATATTATCATTTCAGCATTTAATCAGTGTAAAATTGAGATACTTTTATTCTTTTATTGTGTGTGTACCAAGCCTTTTAATACGAAATTCAGTGTGCATTTTATATTTTCAGCACATCTCCACTTGGACTAGTCACATTTCCAGTGCTCAGTGAACACACGAAGCAGGACAGAGTGCTGGGTGCGGAGGGTACAGCAGGGAACAAAATGGACAAAGTTTCTGTCCTCACATAGTTGACAGTCTAGTACGGGAAACCCATAACAAAGAAGTAAACAAATCTTTTATTTTATTTTTTTAAAAGATTTTATTTATTTGAGAGAGAGAATGAGAGAGAGAGAGCATGAGAGGGAAGAGGGTCCGAGGGAGAAGCAGACTCCCTGCTGAGCAGGGAGCCCGATGCAGGACTCGATCCCGGGACTCCAGGATCATGACCTGAGCCCAAGGCAGTCGCTCAACCAACTGAGCCGCCCAGGCGCCCCTAAACAAATCATTTTAGAGAGTGATGTGTTAGTCTGTGGTATTATAGACTGGGAAGCTGCGTTAGTTTGCCTGGGTAGTCAGGAAAGCTTTTCTGAGGCTGAGAACCAAAGGAGGAGGCATTAACCATCAATTATCTATTGCCACAATAACGCAGTGTAACAACCCACTCCAAAAGGCAGAGGCTTAACATAATAACTATTTATTATTGCTCATGAGTCTAAAGTCATCTGGGCAGTTGGTCTGGCCCGAGGTGGGCTCACACATGCAACCGTGGGCAGCTGCAGGTCAGGTAGGTGGGTATGCTAATCCTGGCTTGGCTTGCATGTTCGGGGTCTGGTGGCTGGTGACTGGTATAGGATGACCTCAGCTCTTCTCCATGTGGCTTCTCATCCTCCAGCAGGCTAGCCCAGGCCTGTTCTCCTGGTGGAGGCAGGGATCCAAGAGAGAATGTGGAAGCATTCAAGTTTTCATAAGACTCAAGCTCAGAACTGTATCACTTCTGCCATGTTCTTTGGGCCAACCCAAGTTACAAGGCTAGCCCAGATTCTTTGAGGAGCAGCAAAGTCACATTACAAAAGGTGTGCATACAGGGAGGGATGGAAAATTCAGGCGATTTTGTGACTGATCTTCCATATTACTTAAAAGGCTTTCAATTCCACCAGGAAGTTATAAAAAAAGTTCTAAATTTCTATGGGCCCCATAAAATATCCTCAAAATATAAAAATGAAAATAGAACTACAGGAGGAAATTGACACAATTACTCTTAGAGTGGGAGGTTTCAGCATACCTTTTGCTATTATTGATAGGCCAAGTACACACAAAAAATTAGTGAAGATATAGAAGAGTTGAACACATTTCTGAGGTATTCAGTCAACAGATGTTTACAGCATACTTTGTGTGTGTGAGGCCCTATTCTAGGTGTGCTGGGCATCTGGCAGTGAACAATTCAACAGTCCCTTCCTTGGAGAGTTTATAGTCTAGTGGAAGGAAACAAATAATAAACAAATAGGTAAAACAAACATGAAGACAACCATGAAGAAAAACAACAGGGAGGGGATATGGAGTGCTTGGCTGTTAGGGTGGGGGATTTAACTAAAATAGCACAGTCAGGGTAGGCGCTACCAAGGAGACACCTGAGTGGAGGCCTAAGAGGTGAGTGAGTGAGTCAGGTGCTTATCTTCAGCACTCGTGGAGGAAACAGAGGCCCTAAAGCAGGAGCTGGTTTGGCAGGTTCTAGCAGTAGCTGAGGCAGGCTTGGTGTAAGGTGGGAAGGGATAGGAGTATCAGGGGCCCAATCACCCATGGCTTTATAGGCCACAAGATGGACTTTCGATTTTAGTCTTGGTGATGGGAAGCCCCAGGAGGGTTTTTGTTGGGGGGAGGAAGGATACCGGAGAGCATTAGGGGTGAGGACCCCAGGGGGAAAGATGGCTGTTTGGAGATGAGGGTCAGGTAGCCAGACTTTTAGAGGTTGCTGGGTACCAGTCCTTGTCAGGCAACATGTCTGCAGGGAATTCTCCTTGCTTTGCCTTTCAACTACCTAGACAGCAGGTATTCCCCAAAGGATGTCACAATCTCTGGAGAACATATTCCAATTATGCTGAAAAACAACATAATTGTGATTATAGTAGTATTCATCTTCTCAATTCTCAGACTGAAAACCTATCCAAAGCAAGAACAAAAGGTAACTCCAGAAAGCACTCCTCTCCCCCTTGGGAAAACCCAGTCAACTATTTATGGTGGTACAGGTTATGTGAAACCATTGTCAGTTTCAAGTCTCTCTCAAGATACAATCTTACATGAAAGAAGGAAATAAATGGGGAGCAGTTAAACAAGTATTTGTTGAGCGCCTACTATGTGCAACACACTCTTCTATGTGCTAAGGTTTTAGCAGGAGATGATCCCTCCCCTCAGAGGGAAGATAAATATATAACATAAACACAAAAACATGTGATATATTAGATGAGATAAATGCCCTTAAGAAAAATTAAGTAGAAATAATGTGCATTTTTGGACTGGTGTGTTACAATTTATTTTTTATTTTTATATTTTTAAAGACTTCCATTTATTTGAGAGCACAAGCAGGCAGAGGCGCAGAGGGAGAGAGAGAGAAGTAGGCTCCTCACTGAGCAGGGAGTCCGGCGTGGGGGGCTCAGTCCCAGGACTCCAGGATCATGACCAGAGCCCAAGGCAGCCACTTAACCGCTTAACCAACTGAGTCACCCAGGCGCTCTGATTATTACAATTTAAATAAAATAGGCTTGGGGGTGGTTTGGAATAGACTAATTGAAAAGAGAGAAGGGTTGGGGAGTATCAGGGAGGTAAGGGCAGGGCTTGGCTCTCATCTTGTAGGGGCCCTGTAACACAACCACTACAGTGTGCAAGTTTACGATTTATAATTTTACTCCCCCATCCTAAGGCAAGGAAAAATTTCCTGTAACCAATGTGGTAATTTCTGACTTCTAGTTCTCTGAATTCTGTAAATTGGGATACATTTTACTACCCATTATCAGAAAAAGATTACACAGCTCCATTTAGCAACTCCAGTTGTGACAAGTCCCACGCCTGGGCTAGAACAAAGACCCAATGATGGCAGGACAGATTCTTTGATTAGTTTTCTTGGCAGGATTTTCTTTTTTCAGCTGAAGCGAAGTATTAGTCCACCTGAGTGGAGCTGCCTGAAGGCCCAGTCTGGACTTCCTCCAGGAGGGGGCCCTAGAATAGGCAGTCTTTAGCGTGAGGCGCAGGAGAGCAGGGAGCCCTAGCACAGCTCTGTTCGGGACTCATATACTAGCTTCCACAGATTAAACACACATGCACTATTTTCTCCTTTTCAAATCATGTACCATTTTCTATTAGATTCAACAGTGTCTATAAGTAATAATGGGTATTCAGTGTTTAAGAAAATGGGGATGTCTGGGTGGCTCAGTTGGTTGAGCACCTGCTTTCAGCTCAGGTCATGATCCTGGGCTCCTTGCTCAGTGGGGAGCCTGTTTCTCCCTTGGCTGGCTGCTCCCCCTGCTTGTGTGCTCTCTCTCTCTGACAAATAAACCTTAAAAAAAAAAAAAGAAAATGTTTGATTTCCTCATTAGTTACCATAACTTGAGCAAATGCCAACTTCTCAATTTCCTCACCTGTAAAACAGGGATAACAAGCAGGGATGCAAATGAAGAGCCTGGCATCATACCTGATGTATAATAGGTTCTTAATGTTCACTCCCTCCCTTCCCCCATCTTAACAAAAAAGATTAGAGTTTAGGTATACCTATAGGTATCCTTTAAAAATTAGGGCTTGTCAACCTTTAATGTGTGGACCAGTTACCTGGCGAATCTTGTTAAAAGTGCAGATTCTGATTCAGTGGAGTTGGGGACAGGGATTCTGTATTCCCAATAAGCTTCCAGATTATGCCATGCTGCGGACCTGGAATCACTCTTTGAGTAGCAAGAATTTACCACTACACAAATTCCAATAACACAGCTACTGCACAAAAAGCCCCTAAACGGGCTCTGTGGATTGTCTCTTTCTATAAAAAATTAACTCTTCTATTTGAGCCTCATGTGGAGTCACTGACCCAGCCAAGTAACCAGGCCAGGTCATGAAGAATACATCCTGTGGTCCAGGAGGGTTCACAGCACCACTTCTGCAGGAAGATCCTGCAATTGTCTCTCCTCCACTTTTGGCTTTTTGATCTTAGCCTTTACTTCTGATGATAATTACCCCTTAATTAGCAACCACCACTCTGTCATCTAAATAATTATGGTAAGTGTGGCTTGCACCTCTGCTAGCAATCTCTAAACAAACTGATAAAATAAGATCCTATGCTGATTTTTTTAAAAGACAAAACTGACCCAAATACAAGGCATGCACATACTGCCCACAGTGGAATACACAGACCTGTTATAACTTCCAGTCACATAAGCTATCAAAAGTTGATTCATTTAGAAACAATCAAGAGCAAGTATTGTGATATCTGGGAAATTGTAAATGTCAGAATATAAATTTTGCAAGGAGTATTGCAAAAGTAATACAAGTCAGCCATGCTAAAATGCACCTTAAATTTCTATTGGGAAGGGCTGCAGGATCTCTGAACTATTTTTTTTTTATTCGGAGTTTCCTGAATATATTGGAGAAATCTGGTTAACTTCTGGGTGCATTCAAAGCAAATTATCCTATTGTGGAAGAAGGGGCGGAGTTTTCACTAGAAGCAATTAGTTTTCTAATTTCCCAGGTGTATTTCCATTAATCATGCACCGAACAGCAGGGCTGTCCAAGCCAGATGAATCATGCACCTCTCTTAGCACGAACTGATTGTACTACTTTTTAGAACGCCGTTTTCCCCCTGCAGCTTTTAAAAAAAGACAAAACTCCCAAATTTCCAACTTTCTGAATAGGTAATACACTGATCTGGAAGAAGAACCCAAACAGCACAAAGGAGTGTACAATGTAAAATGACACTTTTCTCCCTTATCTCCCACCTCCCTGTCCTCCCCAGAGGCAATCACTGGTTCATTTCTCTAAACTTTTCATTATGGAAAATTTCAAACATTAGAGAGACTGGAATAATAAGCCCTTCTGTACGCATCACGCAACAATGGAAAAACACCCCGCTGGTTTGTTTTATTCTTCCTCCCTCGGTATTTGTATGAGTTATTTTTCAAGTAAATCCCAAACTTGAAATCATTTTACCCGTCAAAACTTTAGTCTTTTTTTTTGAGTTCTTACATAACCACATTACCGTTATCACACCCAACAAGGTTAATGGTAATTCCTTAATACCATCCAGTATTCTCGGGGTCACTTTTAACCGGTGCGGGACAGACCCGAGAACTACGTACGGGCCGAGGGGTCGGAGGGGGAGCATTTAAAGCTGGAACCGACATCACTCGCGGCGTTAGGTGCCCAACGCTCCGGGCTTCCCGGTTCCCGCAGTCGTTACCTGCGCCGGGCCAGCACCCGCCAGGCCAGGTTGGAGGGCGGTTCCGAGCCGCGAGCTCCCCGCCTCCCCGCTCTCGGGCCGCGGCCCCAGCAGGCCTGGCGCAGCTGCACAGCCCACCGTCCCTAGACACCGGCGGGTCCCTCGGGGGGAAACGATTGACACAGCTGCCTGCACTGCGCCCCCCGGCTCTCCCCCGCGGCACCTGCGTCTCCCGGCCGGGCCGGGAGCTGGAATTGGCTCCCGAGCCCAGGCGGGTCAGGCCCGCCACGACCGCTACTCCCGCTACCCGCTCCCGCGCCCGGTTCCGAGCAAAGCGACCTCGCGGACCCGGACTACAACTCCCGTCGGGCGCCGCGGCCGGGCCAATGGCGGGCGCCGGAGCATGCGGGGAGCGGCGCCTGCGCGGCGGTTTGAGTAAGCGGCCGCGCGATTGGCTGCGGGGTCAGACGGCCGCGCGGGGCCTGTGGGAAGCGGAGTGACGGAGCGAGCGGCTGTTGGAGGAAGGAGGTGGGGGCCGGGAGTGCAAATGGCGTTGAGATGGTTCAGGGCCCTGTTCAAACTCCAGCGCTGACCATTCACCGGCGGAAGCGGCGGCGCAGGAGGCGGCGGCGGCCTAGCGGGGGCACGTAGCGGGCTCCGGTACCGGCTCCGGCGGCGGCGGCGGCCAGGGAGGCCTAGGCCCGGGCCCGGCCGGTGGCGCTCAAGGCGGGGAGGGAAGTTGCGGTGCCGCCGCTCCTCCCCCCTCCTCCACCGGGTTTCCTATTTACCCAGAGCGGAGTCGCGGGTTCTGACGGTGGCGGAGCCCCTTGCCTCTCTTCCCGCACAAGCCGGCCCTGCTCTCCCGCGCGGGACTCCCGCGCCCGTCCGTGGGCCGTTGGGAGCAGGATAGGCGGAGGCGGCCCGAGGCCAAAGCACCCGCCAGGCGCCGAGGGTAAGTGAGGTCTCGGGCGGCTGCCTAGGCCCGGAGGGAGGGTGGGGGAGGCAGGGGTCTGGAAGTCTCGCTGTCTCACCCACACAGCCTCTGGGGAAGTTGGGCAGGGGAATGACCTGAAGAACTCTCTTTTCCCTCTTTTATTTTTCCTTTTTCTGAGTTCCTTCCGGGCGGCTGCTGATTTACTTCCCTCCGCAAGCGCGGTCAAGTGCGTTGGTTTCAGCCCTGAGACCTTCGCAGTCTTTCCTCCGCCCCCGGCCGCCACCGAGGCCTTACACTGCCCTGGGGATTCAGTGGCAGAGGCTTCCGGGGCGTCGGAAGCTACATCCAGTTCCTGACGGTGGGGGGTGGGGAGGAGAAAAGTTGCGTGAGCTTCCAGCCGGAGGGGGCCGTCTCTCCCGCTACCTCCGGGTGCACCGACCGCCCCCAGGTGAGGATTTCTGGGTGGTTAGCTTCGCCCTTTCCGGCTTTCACTCCTTAGTGGAAGCCTTTAAGCCCTTGGGGATCCTAAAGACGTTGCACTTGGTTGAGGGTTAACTGTGAGGACTTTTTATCCCAGCGCACTTTCCTGAAAATTCGACCTGGCTTTGGGCAGAAGCAAGGGCCCAACGACCGAAAAAGACTTAGTTGTGAATCATTCTTTCCTTTTTCGTTAGGAAAGTCTTTGGAGTTTGAAGTCTGAGCAAGACAGTGTGTGTACTTGAGATATATTTAAAATATAATGTCAACTCTGCACACTTACTTGAATTTATACGTACTTTACACCCTAGGCTTAGATAATGCCATCTCAATTGTCCAGTGACTTCTAAAAAGACATGGAAAACTTGAAGTCAGAGGTAGGGGATATTACGTAATGAGCACCCATGTATTAATCGTTAAGATTCAACAGTTATTTATTCTTAACCAAGTGTTTCTCATCTACACACTTTCCGTTCCACACCCTTTAAAGCTAGAGAATTGCTGACGTTATTTCATTAGTATTTTAGTATATATTTATAAAAGATACGGACTCTTAAAAAACATAAGCATGATTTTCTTATCGCTTAATATATTTAACCCCTTTATATCAAGTGTTTGCAGACTTTCAACTTGCAACAGTGAATGCTTTGTGGTTCCAGGACCATTTTCCTCCTGGGTCCAAAGGAGCTCAAGTCTAGATTTTTGGTTTTTAGGTGATTACTACATTTTTAGGTGATTACTACCGTGAATTGTATACAAAACGTTCCAGCCTTGTTGGTGTATATGTAAATGTAGGTCTGTAGATCAGTGCTTTACATTCTTGGAGGAATGAAATGACTTCATTCTGTTGTTCTTACAGATACCAAATATACTTAGTTTTGTTTAGGCTGTATGTAACAGGAAAGACAGAGATTCTTTAGTGTAAATTGACAGTAGACGGGGAAATAGATCTCTCTCAGGAAAAGGTTTTGTATCATGTTAAAAGGTCTTCACACTATTTTCTCTTAATGGAGATCTGTATGATGACCAGTAGTTACTTTGTCAAATTAGAATTGGTTTCTAAATAAATATGAGAGAGGAAAATCCTCTATGAATATATGTAAAACAAAGTTTATAGTGATATAAGTTGCAAGAATTTAAGTTAGTAAAGGAAAAATACGTTTAAAGAATAGACAAAAATATATTCAAAAGTAGAAGTCAAATGTCCTTCCAGTTGTTGTATTTTAAATTTCAAGGTATGAAGATTTTCAAAACCTAGACAATTGTTCTTTTTTTTAAGGTGTATTTATTATAGCGATATTTAAACTTTAGAAGGTTGGAGTGTAGGAAATGGATAAGAATTGATAGTGTTTAAAAAGGACTGTAACTCGCTTTAAAAACGTTTTACTCTTGATTTACTGTCCTGAATTTTTTTTGTCATGGTATTTATTATTACGTAGACACATCAGGTGAGTATGTTTATCTATTATAAAGCAAAGAGGAAAATAAAGTTACATATTTCTGTTGCTTCGTTTAATAATCAGCAGACCAGTCTAATATGCTGGAGTTCACCAGCTTCAGAGAACCTAACTCAGCGGATGAGCACAGCACTATAGGGACAAGGAAGATAGAATAAGGAGATGACACACTAGGGAATATTTTT